TGATGGATACTTCCAGCAGGATAACGCACCATGTCATAAAGCGTGAATCGTCTCAGACTGGTTTCTTGAACATGACAATGAATTCACTGAACTCAAATGGCCTCCATAGTCACCATATATCAATCCAATAGAGCATCTTTGGGATGTGGTGGAACAAGAGATTCACATCATGGATGTGCAGCCGACAAATCTGCAGCAACTGTGTGATGCCATCATGTCAACATGGACCAGACTCTGAGGAATGTTTCCAGTATCTTGTTGAATCTATGCCACGAAGGATTAAGGTAGTTCTGCCGTTTTCAATTTAGAATGATGTGGAGATTACAAGAGCGTCACCTGCCACTTTTATAGGGAAACTGCTCTTGCTGACAAGCTATGAGCACATGTCTGTTAAAGACTGCCTGCAGGCTCTCTTCATGGACACAGTTTAGATAAAACTGTCAGTTTCTCACTGACTGTCTTAATAGAGTGCATACATACAACTTCTCAAATCTAATCTCTTTGGTTTCATATCTTTGTTCACCGTCTGAGAAATACAGGATGTGCAAATTTATTCATTTAATTGTAGCTTCATGAAAGCTTCAGTGTGTTCTGATATGTTTTACCTGTAAATCCTGGAAGGTGTAGTCCAGCAGGCGTGTGATATCATTTCCTGACAGGTACAGTATGCGGAGCTGTTCAAGCCCCTGAAGCATGTTCGGTGTGAGCAAGTGGATCCGGTTTCCATTCAGGGCGAGCTCCAACAGCTGACTCTGGTCCCGAAAAGAGCCAGGCTCCACACCTGAAATGGTGTTGTTCTGCAGGAGGGACAGAAAAGGAAAATAAACTAAAATATATTTGTATACATATTTCATATTTTCAAGTCAGGCCCATGTGTTAACTGATTCTACCCATTGGTCAGCATACTGGAGCATATACCACTAAATCTGATATCTCAAGATTGAATTCCAAGTTTGCATGTTTCCCTGTGCATGCACTGGTTCTCTCTTGTTACTCCAGCTTCCTCCAAAAATCATGACTGCTGAAATCTGATAATGTCTCAGTGTCTAACCTGCAAGAATGTCAGTGGAGTTAAGTTTGTCCGCTTGTTACCTGCAGATACAGATAATGAAGGTGCTTCAGCAGTGTGAGGTCCACTCGGCGAATCTGACTGATCACATTGTCCTGGAGGAAGATGGTCTGAGAACAGAAACGGAGCATAATAAAACCTGATGGTGGATGTGTTTCCATTACTACTAATAAACGTCAACCTGTGGCAAGCGGAGAAGGGAACTACCTGAGTGGAAGGAGGAATGAGTCTGGGGATATCCCTCAGGTCGGTGGAGCCACACTCCACTGTGAGGCTGTAGCAGCGGCAGCCAGCAGGACAGGGAGAAGACACACCCAGAGACGGGTGTGGGGACAGGAGCAGGAGGGACAAGAGAAGCACAAACCCCAAAGCCATAACATTGAGAGGCAGGACTGAGGAAGAGCGCAGAGCAGAGAATTCATCAGCCTCATCACATTAGGACTTTGTTGCTTTATCTCATTTATTATTTGGAACACGTGTTTCCATCATCATTCACCTACTATTTTAGTTGAGGTGTTGCTGAGGACTGATCACAGATGAGGGAAATATTCTGCACATAAAACCAAA